TTGCCTGCATCTAATATGACATGCCAAACAATTGTCTTAATTGAAGTTGGCAGGCTATCCAGTTAGTAACACACACACACACTCTATCCTATTGACGGTTATTTCTAATTCTACATGAAATTAAATACCTAATTCCTCCAGCCGTGACTTTTGTTCCTCCCTCCATTTGCGCAGACTTTCAGGTTCTTGTCTCAACATGTCGACTTGAGCAATGGCTGAGTAGCCGTCAGTTGTGCCGTTGGTGTCCTCCTAACGTTACAAATGATGACGCAATGTTAATAACGTGTTGTAGTACATAAAAACATTTAATATGACAAGATTAGTTGTTTTTTTAACCACACTCACCTGAAACATATCTCCGTTCACAGCAGTAGCTGGTGCTCCTCCAAAATCACCTGCACTCAAAAAGAAGAGAAACAAGGAGTTTCAGCACTTGATAGGCAACAGCTTTTACACTGTGTTGGTTTATGGAAACATTACAGGCATCACCGGAATGCAGCACACCTTGTTGGACTGTAGCGTAAAAAACCTCTCTCACAATTTCTGGATTTAGTCAGCATGGACTGGTGTGTTCTCTTTCATTATACTCAATGGCTTTTACTAGTTTGTTTTTCCAGTGGTTTGTTTGCTTGTCTTACCCTGACAGGTGCAGGTGTGACTTTAACACCAGCATTAAAGCTGATTATGTGATGCTAGACTACTAAAAAAACACTGACTAGAATTTTTTTTACTAGGTATTAGTTTGACTAGGTATTAGTTTTTAGTTCAGTTAAACAGTAAACCATATATACCATGATTCTTCATGGTTGTTGTAAATCGTAATTATTATATTATTAATCTTCTCATTTTGATGATGATGTAGATTAGATTTAGATTTATATTTTTGCTATATTTATTGCAGTGACGATTCATTCTAACAATCAGTACAGTGTAATTATTTTGTAATCTAGGTTGTTTTCTCCATTCTGTCACCTGATGGAGTTTTGGTTTTTGCCACTGTTGCCTTGGCTTTTGGCTTGCTTAGTTGGGGACAATTAATATTCAAAAATACTGTTGATATGCCTTACTTAAGGTGGACGTTTAGCTTGTTATCACTGTGGAGCTGCCTTGATACAATCTGTATTGTAAAAAGCACAAAATAAATAAAAGTGACGACTTTTTACTATGAATCAATAGGCAACACTTTACTAAATCGTACTACGGCAGTACTATGGTACAGTGGCGGTACCCAGTGGTAATACCATGGTACTTCTATATAATGTAATATCACATGTTACATGTAGTTAGTAACTTAACTATAAATTAGTTTATAACAATATGTCACGATTCTATACATATCATGATACGATAATATTGAGAAATCTGGTGAAAGGTTAACAAAAAATGTACTGTTGATTAATATGCTAAATTTGATATTACATTGTAGGTTTAAATGAATAGGCTTGGACTTGGTGCTTGTAACCCAAGGACAATGGTGACACCAGAACAATATTCATGATTCTGAAGCTTAAATTATTGAGTTATTGTAAATTAATATGCTTGTATGCTTTCACTGACTAGACATATTTAAGTTCAAATACCATGGTACAAGAATAAGGGATGGTCAAAAACCATGGTACGTTTTTGGTAAGTGATGGTCCCATGGTACGGCACTCCACGGTACTTTTAAGAATTCCCCGATAGATGTCCAAAACAGGGTAGTACTAATACTTATGTGTTATACTGCTGTACTATATTTTACATGAGTTTTTACAATAAATAAATAAGTTAACTTGAATATTCATTTGATTAAGGAAAAGCAAACAGGCCGGCGTGACACACGCACCTCCGATGAACGTGTACGTGTCCGCGGGCGGAGGTCCGTCGTCGTCCTCCAGCGCGCCGAAGCCGAACCCGGCGCTGTCGTTCTCGATCACGGCGATCTCATTCTCCTGCTGGGCCAGAAACTCCGCGGCCGGGTCTTCTTCTGTATGAACGCCGTTGTCGGAGGCGACAAACCCAAAGTCGTCAGCCATGTTTAACAAAGTAACACCGGCTTCCGTAAAGCTGCACTAAACCTTCCAGCTGTTTTGTTCTTCGAGCAAGTTGGTATTGTTTGAAAGGAAGAATAAACGTAGTTGTTAAAGGATAAACGAAGACAGATTCGTATATATAAAAAAAGTATATAAAGTAATTTGTACTTTTAAATGGCAGCAGGTTGGCTATATGAGTTGAATGACGCGCAGCTCTCGTTGTGTTGGGAGTGTTGTGAAAATGACAGGAACAATGTTGAACACACACAGTTGATTTTTGGTGTTGTGTCTCCATCTACTGGAGAGAGTACGTAATAACAAACCTACATGAAGCCAGGTATTCATGCCGTTACGTTGATCATAATTCATGATGATTTTAATTTTTCAGTCTTTAAATGGGGTTTTTGGAAGGTTATAGAAATCATATTTTTTGTTTAGCATATTTGGAAACATTAACGAATTGCAATGCTGCGCTTTCTCAGTTTTTTTTAAGCGGCACATGCTTCTTGGACTTTCTGGAAGACAATTTCCAGCAAGGTTGAAATTTGAACGTATTAGGCCCAACAACTAAAGTTTCATGATCTTGAGATTTCCCTACATATGACCTGACCTCAATGAAGTACCTGAAAATGTAGTAAAGTCAAGAACAGTTAGGCTATAGCACTGACCTGTTGAACATAGTTTTCTGTAAGTTATTAACCTTCAAATGGTCTTCGTTTCCTGTTTACACTTTTGGGCTTCGGGGTCTATAAGAATTGATTGAGTAATTTTAGGCCTACAAAAAATATACATTTTTAATCATACAAATAATATATCATTTGTTTTTGTTTACTTCTCATCTATTCATTAATGCTGTGTTTTTGGAGATATAAAGTACTTTTGTATCCATATACCACACAATTCCTCAACTACACCATTAGCTTGCATAAGTAATATATTTTTTTTTATGATACATTGTGCTCTACTAGGCCTTCATTTCTGTGTAAAAAAATAAGATTTGTTATTATTTTTTAATTTTTTTAATCTTTTTTTGACACATAAAGAAAATATATTTAGTTTTTACATTTCCCATTAATTTCAATGTGGGGTCATGACCCCTAAGACCAAGTGTAAACATTTTTTTTTTTTACATACCTTCAGAACAACCGAATCAAGCCCAGTTTTGTGTGTCTAGATAGATAATGTATGAAAAGTCACAAAATCGTATTCCATTGAGTCGAGACGAAGGGAACCTTCGTTTTGTCAAAGTAAAAGTTAAGTAAAAGTTAAGTACTTAAAAGTTTATTAAGTATAGACCCCATGACCCGAGTGGGGGCTACTAAACAATGAATTAGTATAGGTAGATAAAACAATAAATAAAAAAAATAGAAAGAGTTTACAAAACAGTTTACAAAACAGTAAATCGGTAATAGACTCAATGAATGTCCACAAACTTGAACATCTTCATTTATGAAAAGTCTAGCCACGGGGGCGCGCTCACCGAGCCCGTGCGTCAGGGCACCACGTGACGCATGACGTAATATCAGAGATCTACTAAAAGAAAATCCAACAGGGAAAACCTGCGGCTTCTGCGCGCGACCTGACGCCCAAGTCCTGAAAGTTGTGAAGTTTACTTGATCTCTATTTATAACAGCTCAACACATCAGAGGACGGAAGCCTGCGATGTCTGTCGATCACAAGGAGGTAACTTAAATGCTCTGCTTCCCAACTTTTTTTTGGATGTACCACCGGCAGCAACTGGGCTTTAAAAGAGTGTATTACGTTTCTAGGTTACATACATTTACTCTCATAGTATTGCTGAAGGCTAAACGGTTATGATGGCAAAATTATGCATCAGCTTTTGGATACTTTGGGACTTGTCCTAACATGTAATTAGTAATACATTCGTTTACACTATAATCTGTGGTTTGGCATCTAATCTGGATTCTCTAAAGAGCTAAATGTTTTCTTTGTAGGAAATATTATTTTTTCAGTGATTCGTTTTGAGATGCAAATTAGCTCTTGCTATACTACTCTCTATGTACAATATATATGTTCCAGCTTTGACTGGGATCATGTTTTTTGTACTGTCCCTATATAAATAAACTGAAATGATACTTTAGTTGTGATGATTACAAAGTTATTATGTAGTTGTCATTTAGTTTCATTGACTGAAGGCCACGACATTAGTTTTATTTCCACATGTTGAGAAAGTCAAATTATGCAAAGTTCATGTAAGTTTGCAAAGTACAATATTTATGCGTGCCCTCACATGAACCCTATTGATAGAAAGGAGTTCAGAAAGCTTTGATCACTCGCCTGTTTTTATTGCATAGTTATGTGCCTTTTTATTTCATTTTTAATTCACCATTGGGAATGAGATGTCAGGCTTATGAATGATTATTATTTTAGAAGTCATTTTTATCACAAAGGACTGAGTGAAATTGGAGGTAGTTAGTGGAAAATTGAAATGCACACAGAAAAGAGGATCTTTCAGAACGTACAATGCCCTCTCAATTACAGTTTTGCCACAGGGTTTGACAACAGCTGCAGTTTTGTATTCAATCTGACATAACCTACATGGGGTGGTACAGCTTTGCCGTCTAAAACATATGTTATTCGCACAGTGCGAGAATACGTTCAGAATTCATAATGGTTTCTCAATTGGAGTTTTGCCACAGGGCAAACACAGCGCTGCTGTTGCATTCTCAAATTGCTGTCACATACCCAACTGTGGGTGCAACCATGGAACATATGTTATTCACATTGAGAGGAATGTTCATTTGGCTTCCCACCCATCCAACCTGCCTTCTGATGTCTTTTTCTGGTAGTTTATGGGTTTAAATGTTAAATCTAGAGCCAGAGAATCTGAGAGGTAGTAGATGTTTTCTCTTCCTTCCCTCCCTCCCTCCCTCTCCCTTTCCCCCTCTCCGTGACTCGTGGGTGATGGGCTGAAATAGTTTGGTGTAGTTTTACATTCCTTATATAGCCTGTGGAGTAAGAGAGACGTGGAGCGAACCCGTGTCACAAAGAAGGAGGGGAGGGAGTTGAGCTTTGCCAGCAGTGAGAAAGTCAGGCTGTCTCGCAGTGCCAGATTTCCACTTGGTTTTCTGGAGGTTTGGGTGACAAGTTTTGGTCCGTGGCATAAGGTATGTGTGTGCAGTGCCACATTGTAACAGGGAAACTCTGTGTGGGATAGGATAGCCTCTGGAGTTGGGAGATTATAAGTCACAGGGAGGGGGGAAATGTCATGATTTTGGGGCCTCAGCTTGTCCTTGGCTTTTAGTTTTATGTCATGTTACTATTTGATATTGTACCAACCCGTAACATAATCAACAGTGTCGCAATGATTGGCTGGAGGTGCCAGAATGCAGTAGTTATCAAATTAATCTGCTAACATATCATCATGCATAAGCGTGTCATGTGCTCATGCTTCTTTCAAACAGCCATTGAGTGCTATAAATCTACCCTGAGCTGCTGAAATGTGCTGGGTTGTCTTGTCATAATATATTGCATTTTCACTAATGGATTTGATAGTGTAGAAGTAGATAATGTGCGCTTTCATTGTCGATCACTGACCAGTAATTTGCAGTTCACCACACAATGGAAATATAGGTGCTTATTTCTGTCACCTACCTGATAATTAATTTAAATAAGCCGAGTCTCAAATGTCTCTGTGAACAATTGACCACACAGGAGTAAAAGTGTTTTCAAATGGGTTCAGTGCTGTTATCCTCAAACCAAATTTGTTAAAACCTGATATTTATACTTTTGTTTTTTATTTGTCAAGTCATTTTGTCATGCGTGTAGTGTTTTTCACAATACTCATGGTTTTAAACCAGCTTTACAGATATTTTAATATGAATATGTGAGTATGCTGTATGCAAATAAAATTGGACATACTTCTATACAGTGTTGGGTGTAAGTAATTAGTTACTGTAATTTAATTACTTTTCCCTTGAAAATGTAAAGTAAGGTATTACTCTTCATTTATCTGTAATTTAATTACAGTTACTTCTGATGTAATTGAGTTAAATACTGTGTATAGATCAATCCTGCGACCGCACACGTACAAATTCGTATTAATTATTGTAAAATATGTATGAAAAAAAGTGTGAAATGTCATGAGATCAGACATAAAACAATAGTGGGTTTAACATCAAAGTGTATTGTCTGATGTTAAAATGTATGTTTTTATAATGTAACCTTGTCCACCTTGGTCAGTTTAAGGAAAATTCATGCAATTTTAGAGTATTTATTTGAAAGAATTAAAACAGATTCATGTCTATACTTGTATTATTCAGCTGGTTGAGATTGATATGGGATTTTGAAAGTAATTAGTAATGAAATACTTTTTAAAGAGAGTAATTAGTACAGTAATCTAATTACACTGTTGAAGAGGTAATTATTAGCTAGTAATTAATTTTTTAGAGTAACTTACCCAACTTAAAATAATTACTTAAGTAATTATTAACTTAAGTAATTAGGTTTTTAGAGTAACTTACCCAACACTGCTTCTATATCCAACTTTTGGATATAGTTTACAATATAACCCTTTGAACGGTTCTAAAAGAGAGTTTACTCTACATATGCGAGTAAATTTGGATATATTATATTGTTCAAAGTTGTACTATAATTGTTTGAGATATCTGGGTTGTTGGGTTTAATTCACGCACAGTCAGACATCAACAGCATACCAGACAGTGTTCACATATGTGGCTCTGGAATGTTTGGTTTTATCCTTGTTAGGAGCTTTGAATCACTTGTAATATTATTACTAACTACATGATGGAATGAAACAACCTCTCTTTTGTTTGTTTTCTCTTCAGGCCATGAATATATATTGTGTAACACTCAACGGACCTGCTCCCTGGGGTTTTCGGCTTCAGGGTGGCAAGGACTTCAACATGCCCCTGACCGTGTCCAGGGTAAGTGACCTCATCTTGGATCTAGCGATGGGTAATAGACATGTTTTGTAATCGGCTTAAGCTGTCAGCTGCATAGTAATGATGTATTCATCCCATTTGTTCCCTTTAACATTTCAGTTTGACAAATGAACAAGGTGTTTCGCAGACTTCGTTTAGATAGCATGAATCCATCACTCACTCAAGGTGTTTTGATCCCTCTAATGAGGTTTTGCAGCAATTCTGTGTTAGTTTGCGGCCCCGTCTCTGCGTGCAGAAAGACATCAAACAGAAACTCAAAAGGAAATGCAATCGAGTTAATAAGAACAGTGTGCTCATGAGGTCTATTTCAACACTTGCATTCCTTCAGAAACATGTCACCGCTTGATATCAACCCCATAAGAAAACGGCTGCTTCAGAACTCCATTCAGATGTCTCCTCACAAGGATATGTTATGCTTTGTTTAGTTTCCAGCATGCGTTGTTCTCTCTTTAAGGTCATTGAATCTTGGCTTAATGGCACCTCCAATGGAGCATATTGAACAGATCAGGTCCAGATGCAGAATTTCCATTCCTTTTATGAACAGTGTTGTTTGTAGTATACACAAAACGTTAGCTCTGGTAGTGCTCTTGTAAACCTAAAAGGTCATTTTGTATGAATACCATAGGGACGATTGAGGCCTTGGTTTTGATAAAGGTGATGCATGTAGGTTGATTCCACAAAAAAAAAAAATATTGTGACTCTGTACTGTCTTCAAAACATTGCTCAGTTTGTTAAGCATCTTAACTAGCGATGCGTTTCCCAAAAGCATTGTTAGCCAACTATGGTTGCATGTTCCATCATTACCATCATAGTTCAACGATTCAGCATTTTAACGGAAACCGTGGTGAATGCCTAGTTAATTTCTCCAACGATGAATTGTAGCGCGGTGGTTAAGCAGCGAGTTATGTCTTCATTTGTGAAACACCCCAGCACAAGACTGGAACACTGGATTAGCTTGGGGCAAGACTGTCTGTTGGCTCAACCAATGACCGATGAGTTTAAAAAAAGTCATTTTAGCAGTTTTGCTAAGTTATGCTAGTGCAGCGGAAAAGACACTCTTCACAAGTCTTGTGTCTCCTTGTTTTATTGCATTAAGTAATGTCTTGTTCTTAATGATTGATATTGATTCATTGGCCTTTTTTCATTTTGCCATTTTGAGAGTAATGACCATAGGTATCCATAATAAAGGCTAGATGTCTTACGGCATCACCGGCGGCCATCTTGTCACAGGCAAGCTGATGTAAGATGAGTGATCAGCGCGAACACAAATACTCTTATCTCGTTGAAATCTTGACGGATTTTCAAACGGTTTGGTTTCTTACAAACGTTATTACGTGGCTATAATTCTGGATGATTATTTATTTATACACTTAATATTCATAAGTATGTACTGCCGTGTCTATATAACTACATCTCTGACGTTTAGAACAAACCAAACCGTTTGAAAATCGGTAGAAAATTGAGCAAGTTATGGTTGTTTAAAAAGTACATACGCCATTAAAACAGTGTTACAAGTGAGCGATCTGCCTGTTACAAGATGGCCACCAGGTGCGGACGTCGACCTCCATTGGCCAGCAGCGCGGACGAGACATCTAGCCTTTATTATGGATATCTATGGTAATGACTACCACTTGACTGAAAAAGTTACCAAAAGTAGAATTTCACTTGTGTAAAAATTCCAAAGTTTCTCAACAGCCTCATTTACTTGAAATTATTTGATGTTAATATCGCCTTTTAAATACTTCTAAAACATTTTTTTTACAACATTTTCACCATTCTTTTTCTGACATGGTAGTATAACCTGCAGCCGTGTACATCTGTTTAGCCCTAGACGTCTGTCGGAGTTGATGACTTGCATTGACACTCCCTTAAATGTCTGCTTCAGTCAAAATGGTGACTTCATCCATCAGTGTGTGAGCCGCCTGCTGTTGCCAGATGTTATGCAATGGCAGGAGCGTGTCTGTGCGTGTCATTCTTAACCTGATTTTAACTTCTCATAAAGTGCATTGCAGGGTCTTGGGATTATAAAGAATGACTTCACTACAGGACTGAACAGATACCAGCATCTCCTCACGCTAGAGCGAACACAGCAAAAATGATTACTATCGTTTTGGAAATGAAGGATATCTTCTTCTTTTTGAGTTAAACTGCAGGAGCCGCTTCAGCGTTAATTTGAAGAAATGGAAACTTGATAAAAGTGGAGATAAGTCCATCCCGATGGAATCAGTTATTTACTTTATTTTTCAGTGGCTCCTCTTCGCCTCACAAAGACTATTCAATTGCAATTCCCTAAATTGGCAAGTGGTCACCATTTACTACCCTTAATGCTAATCACATGACCTGGGAAGTGCTGGTTTTCAAACATTTCATACCTCAGTTGTCGTCACCTCTTGAGAAACGTGAAAATGAATTTTCACAGGAATGTTACAGTCGGACCGCTTCCTATGTTCAGCTTGACATCACTCATTACTGTGACAGGAGGTGACTCATTAGGTGTGTTTGTTCTGTCGTTTGAGACTACACTATGCTGTTAAAGGTGATTTGTATAGTCTGAAATGAAGGACGGTGATTCATTCATCTTGACAGAAGGCTACACCCTTCTACATTGCCTTACTGTTGAGTTATGCAGTGTTAAATCACGCTGGGTTGAAACAGAGCGTGAGTTAATGAAGATATGCTCTGTCCACAGGTTTTAAAGGGGGCTAATCTGAATATGGGTGGTCTGTTTCCCCCCTTCTCCGCAATGGGAGAACAAAGAGGCTAAAGAGTGAGGTATTATGTGCCAATGCACACAAGGCTGGCCATTCAAACAGGAGAATGATGAAATGGAACATGGTGGCTTATTTATAGAGGACTGCTTAAGCATTTGCTGGTATACACAATAATTAGTGGTACTTGATTTGAACAAACCACTAATCCTGTGTTTTAAACTTTGGCATCTAATTCATTCTGCACCGCTTGTGGATGATAGTCTTTGAGGAGAGGTGCTTTCTCAGCAATCTAGTGATTCTGGTTTGTGCAAATACACAGAAATCCCAGAGACTTCCATTTAAATGAGGGACCTAAGCTATATTTAGGGACCAGGATGTCTCTTTTGACTTGGGCCATTAAGTAACCACCTAGTAACACCCTAACAACTTAAAACAAACCCAGTCCCCAATACTGCAGTCTAGCAGCATTAGCGACTGTATTTTCCCCATGTCATATATGGATTGAGTTCATCAGCTGATGGTATTTGGAAACTGGACTGGCCTTAATATTTTTCCTGAGCATTTTTCATTCCTCTTTTGCTGCACCTCCTCCTCCTGTTTGCTTTCCATTGGACACCTCGGCACATTTCTTCAGCATTCCTAGGATTTTAACATTGCTTTCCTATTTCTGGCAACATAGCAGCCCTTTGTCTGCTTTTGTACCCACTATCCATTAATGTCTCCAGTCATCATTCCCAAAACCAGATGAAATGGTTCTTGGACCTCAAAGGAATACTTTCCTGGTGAAATCAGTGCAAGTAAAACCTACAGATGAGATGACGCACTCAAACAGATGGATCTGTGTGTACTAGCTGTGAAATCCATAATGATTGCAGTGTACAAATGTTATGATTTGTATTTGCTTCAGTGGATGTCCGTCTGGTTTGCATTAGCAGGCAAAATACCATTCATCAAATTAAACAACTGCAATTAGAAAATTATGTATGATGTAATCTTTCTAAGATTAGTGAACAGTTTGTGATTTTTTTTTTTCTTTCCCTGGGGTTCCAGCTCTGTGACGTTAACCCGAACCGAAGCTGCTCCCTTGAAGATATTTATTACTTTGTGCATATTACTCTGGAGGTTAGAGACCCCATAAAATCAAAATGGGAGTTTTGTGGCTTTTAGTCAATGACTGTTAGCTTTTAGGCCATCTACATGCTAATGGGTGTTTAAAAGTTGACATAATCCAATTTATATCATGTATAAGGATTTAAAATGAACTGTCCTTTTTTTCTCATTCAGGAAAACAGACCTATAATACTGTTGACTAAATCTGCGCTCACTTATTTTGTTCAGCAGTCATAAATTCTCTCGAATGAGAATTTCCCTTTATTGGCTAATGTTTATAGTTTTATATTTATGTTAAAAAGTTTATAAAATGAAATGTTTTGTTCTCTTATAATCCTGTGGAACTTAAAAAAAGTCATTTTAAATAATATTTACATGGATTTTTTCTTTACTAGTACAGTTCAGGGTTCCCATGGTTGTCAAGAAAATTAAAGAATTAAATTATTATGAACTAATCTTTTGCGTTCATATTCAGAATCCGTTTTTTTTTGTTTTTTTTTTAAGGCAGAGCTACAGCCGAGTGTAGGGTTTTCAGTGAATAACTACCTACATTTTGGTCTGTTCCTCTGAGAGTAAAGCACACAAGTAGACGACTGTCATAATATATTATTATTACTTTTACAAAATAAAAGAGAGAGATGCACTTGACATTCCTCATGAGAAACATTTACTTCTTGGTTTACCGATCGTATTCCCAGTGTCTCTGGCCCGTGGACCTAATCATCCAAGTTTGTCACAGTCATTTTAACAAAGTTTGTCAATATGTTTGTTTGCTTTTGGAGGGATTGTTAGCCAGCGTGGCAGTGGCTGCTCTTGCAGACCTCTGAAGACAGTTTGGTTTAAAGCTTGGCTCTTACATCCAAGATATTTATGGCTCACTCATATCAGCTGACGCAATTGCACTGAGGCCCATAGTCTTCCAGCCCCCCAAAAGGAAATGGAAAGTGAAATGCGACAAGGATTTTAACGGGGTGATCTTTAGGGTCGCCACATAAACTTTAAGCACCATCAAGGACAAAAGGATAGGCCACTGCATGTCTGGAGTAGAAAATTTTAAATGGGCCATGATTTTAAAGACTATTTAGCATTGGATATCCAGGACATACATGGGATATGTCAAAGAATCTATTCTTATTGTTGAATGTGACCCAAATCATCCTCCATTGACCATTTAATATGGCTGCCGTCCTCGTTTGTAGCTGTTTATGCGAGTGCGTTTTCTTGTGTCGTTCTGCACATTGATGTCAGAGGGTTTAAGGTTTCTCTACTCTTCCCACTTTGACTTGTAAAAGGTCTTAGCGCAGCACTTAACTGCCACCAGACTCAAGTCTACGAACAGCTGGGTTCTGAACTTGAGCCAGGATCACAGGTGGCCGTGTCCATCAGCTTCATTTGCATACTCAGCCGTCCACGTTCCCCTGTCTTCTTTCTTTCTCTTTTGTCTCTCTACCTTTTATTTGTGTGTGTGTGTGTGTGTGTGCCCATTTTCCTATGCAATTACTTTTAAAGGGATAGTACACCCAAAAACGAAAAAAGAAAAACAAAAAAAAACCTCCTGTCATTAAAACTCACTCTCACGATTTTGTTCCCCCCCCCCCATCCACAGACCACAAATAGATGTTTGGCAGAATGTTTGCACTGCTCTTTCCCTTTGAAAGTGAATCGTAACAAGGGAAGTACTAAAAGCACCATATAATTATTGTTGATTTAGAATAAATCAGTAAAGTCACACGGACCACTTTTCCGGCGCTTTTTGAAATTTTTCGCTAGTTTTTATCAAAATCACGATATGGCTTACCGTGTCCTAACCAGACGCGATGCGATACAATTCTAGCGCTAAATAATTTGTCTGTCCATGCTAGATGCAACACAATGGGCTCTATGCAGGGCGGTATTTCCGGTGAAGGTTTAAGGATGCTCGATAACTTCCGCCTATCATAGAGTCCAATGCAAAACCGAGAATTCATATTGAATTTTATACTCCATGGTTATACTAAAGAAACGTTAGTCACAAAAACAGATAAAACAGACAGCCCTCGTTGTGTTTATGCTTTTTTTTTAAAATTATATTAAATAAAAATAACTATATATAAAATTACATCTAAACGTATGTACGTTTCGTTTCAAAGGCTGGAGGACAGTACATTTTGAAGACTCTGCCATAATCCCGTTTTCCTCAGTTTTCCTCCACTTTAATCTACACAACCGGAAATGGACGAGCGTCCTTGCGTCAAATGCGAAACTTATGCGTGCATATAGCCCATTGCGAGATCCGTCAAAATCAATCAAAACCCACAGCCAATCAGAACCGCATGTGGGCGGAGTCTCGGGGCAAGTGCACAGCACTAGAGAGTATCTTGATGACACTCCCGAAAAAACTGACGTTGGGTGACGTCACTTCTTGTTGACGTTCAAAGTATTGTCAAACAAAACGGAGGCTATAACTAGACCCTCCCTCCTCCTCATTCCATCCCCTCCCCTTGTGGTTTTACTGACACTTCATTCAAGGTGTAATGTCGCCATGTTAGATAAATGCTTTAATGCAGAACATAATGCAGAAAAAGAGAAACATTACCAGAAAAACACGATAAAACGTTTTGTCACCTGAGGTTATAACTTTAGCTCCCATACAAGGATCCAAAAATAGCAAGTCAATAGGCTATGAATGAACATTTCAAATTCATGAACAGTTGGTGAAAACAATCATTCAAACAAACTGTCACCCTACTGTGAGTTTGCTTGATCATGTAATATGGAGATCGATAGCTAGCTGCTAGATACCTATATGTTGTATTCACCAAAGTTAGCGCATTTTAGGTCGTGCAGCCCTAACGTGAGTGATCGAATGTTCATTGTCTTTTGGATGAACTCTTTTAAGACCTCTCCTGGTCTGGTCCGTTTCCTGTACGCTTGCCAAAGCGCTACACCTGAGGGAGGACTTTCTGCAGGATTGTTTTTCAAACCGCAGCCATTTCCTCATGATGTCCTGACGACGTCACAATGCTTCTTATGTTTCATAAATATTTGCATGGTCTCAAACAGGCTGTTGAGGGCTGAGGCTCGAGGACAATAAGTTTTGTTCTCTTCCCCCAGTGCCGTCTAACTCCGGATTCCGATTCAGAGCTCAGCAGAGAAGACTTGTAAATGTTTGTTGAAGTGAATAGAAGGCGGTCGAAACAGGAAACGTGGTAGAACTCGGAGAATGGAGGGATTGGGAGCCTGAAATGTCCAGAGCAGATGGTAAAACTTTGGGTACAGCTTTATATAGACATGAGGACTGACCATGTGCATTGCATTCAAATTCATGCCAATGGCAAAAGCTGGATCTCATTAGGGTGCTACCACCAAATGTCTTATTATTTTATTACACAGACTGAGTGCTATCAATGATGCACAAAATTTTGCATTTTGAGTGCTTTTATTTGTTGCCAAATGTGGTGGTTATGTTTGGGTCCACAGGGTTAAGGTTTCTCATGATCCTGTTAAACTATCTGGCTCAAAAAGCATCTTTCTTCATTGATGCCTAGCCATTTAAAAGCAGAGCAGCTGTGATCGAATGATGCTTTTTGAGTGGACTCGAATCTTTCCTATTCACCGTTTTTGTGGGATTTTTTTTGAGCAAAGTTTCCTTATAAAGGTTCATCTCCAGCTGAAATCTAGCTGAACTACTTGCCAGATCAACAAAAGGTCAGAGAAATTCCTCCAAAGCCTGTCGAAGCACGCATGGTTTGGAATGGATGTTCAGAAATTTTATATGGCGGATCAGTTTGGCGGGTTCTAGGTTGTGTGCTTTGTCATCCGTGCATGACGGTCAAGTTGTTCACACTTTGCTCAGTAGTTATCTGAAACTGTTGCTGGCCTTAAAAGGCATCAGACACAGGTTGGCCTTGGAATTTCACATTTTGGTTGTGCTCATTCCAGTGGTGAACAATATACACTTAAATCTGGGACACATGTTCTTCTTTAGGACGTCAGTGATATACTGGACGTGACTCATATGTTTCTAGACATGGCAGAACGTAATTTCCCCATTCATATTGTACACACCAAGTCAGCAGTGCCGACGTTTGTATATTTCCCTACATTCTATTCACTTTCCCTTTTGGGCGACGCCTCCGGCCTTTTTCTGAGTGATTTATATGCTCGCTTTATTGCCAAGATGGCCTTATCTGAAAGCACTGCACAGAGAGACTGTAAAAGTCAATGCTGCGTTAAAGTGCTGGATTATTTTAGACTGGCTTTTGTGTGGATTTATCAACAGTATTACATTGTGAGTTCTTTGTCTGTCAGTTTGCCTGTAGACTTCACTTCCTCTCAGGTGTGTTTGTTCTTGTGCGGTAGGGTTTGATTGATTGGAAGTTAGATGTGCTGTTTCTTTCACTGTTGTGTTTTTGAATAGTTCAGCATGAGGTGTGTGGCTAATATCCATTTATTTTTGAGAAAACGGGTCAGGTTTGCAGGTTCAGAGAAATGTTCTCATTTTTATCCTCTCAACTGGGAAGAGCCCTGAATTTAGGCCTCTTCAAAATCTGGGTCAAATTAAAATACAGTCATCAGCTTTTACATAATAAATAAATGAGTTTATTCCTTTGGAGATTCATAGTAGTGGTGTTAAGGCTGGGATTAATATTGCTATGGTTCATTCATACTAGGGTTTCGGGACTTCAATAAGCTATCCTTATGTATTAAACATAAAAAGAAAGCTTGTCCTGCATCATGCTAGTTTTAGATTTTCAAGTTTCATTTTAATACAATTTTAGTCATTTTAGCCTATTTCTTTTCTCATTTTCTTAGTTTTTTGTTTAAAAACATATTAAATAGTATTTAACTATTTAAAATTATTTATTTAGTATTTTCAGTTTTAGTTTTAATTTAGTCATTTTAGTACTTGAACGTGACAGATGGAAATGATCTGTCAAGAAAACAAGCTAAAACGCCTATAAATTTACATACAGTAGAAAGTGTGAGAATAGCCATATGTTTAGACCAGAAAAGTCATAGAGACTTGGGAGTGCGCAATTATGGCTTTGGATATTAATCAACTGCTTAGTAATTATAGCAACCACATACAAATGTGCTTTAGAAACCTGGTAACCACTTACAACACCCCTATATTGTGTTTGTTTTCAGCACCACTCACTTGCTTCAAAAAATGGGAATATCTGGTTTAGATTTGAAATGTTTTGAGTTTGCTGAAAGTCTTCCCCATGACACTTCATTAGACAGAGTATGACTAATGTTTGTTCTCCATGTCTGTTTCAGCTGACCCCAGACGGCAAGGCGGCCCAGGCCGGGGTGGGTGTTGGAGATTGGGTGGTATCCATCTCTGAGGCCAACGCAGAGGAGATGACCCATGTGGAGGCACAGAACAAGATCAGAGCCGCAACCGACTCTCTCACACTCACTCTGAGCAGGTACACACACGCACACACTTACTCAAGCGTCTTTCATCAGTGTCTTTGAGTTTCAGTATCACATGACGGGGGAGAGGATGACTTAACAGGAAATTGAGTTCTCTGGTTAATCCATCACTCAAACCCCCTTTTATTACAGTCTTGAAAGATAGGGTGTGAATTTTACAACATGTGTCGCATTAGAAACAACCAAACAAATGTATTCAGATGTCTACAACTTTCAAAGAGCTTTGAGGGGCTTTGAAAAAAGACTAGTCGGACACCATTTGCTTTAGTTAATAGATACCTGTGAAGAGTGCTACCCTTCCATTCGATGTAATTGTCTGTTTTTATGGGTTCACCATTGTTTTGATAAGGATGCCAAAACCATTGCCTATAGGGTGCAACAACTGGACGCCAGATGTGAAAAAAATAATTGTATCCAATAAATTTTATTTCATAAATAAATTCAACCTGCCACAAGCTCTAAGATTGGTGTAGCACTGTTTCTGTGAAAAAAAAAATAAAATAAAATAAATAAATAAATAAATATATATATATATGTATATATTGTGTAAAAAAAGTGTAAAAATGACAAGCATATAACTCAACATATCAATGTATTTATTATAACAGTATATAACTTAGTATTTATTATTATTTTGTTTTTCAAATGTTACGATTAGTCTTGGCGCTGGTTGGTGTGGATCTAAGAACGCTTTATTAAAGAGTGTTTTTATCTGTGTTTTAATGCCTATTGAAAATCATGGTACGCAACGGCAATATCGTAGACTTGAATTACAGGGAATACACAAACTGATGCACTGTAAATTCATTGCGGATAAAACCTCTTCCAGATGCATTAATGTAAAATCGATGGAAAGATACTTCAAAACCAAGGCCACATAAAACTGTGCAGTCACTCTTGTGCTCTTGTGATATTATTTGGCATCTAATTTTGGTCTGTTGTTTTGAAAATGTCAGTGTGACTTTTAAATTGTTACTAATTCAAACTAATTTGGCCCAAAATGGCGTCTAGAGTGCAGATCTATCAAGATATACCAAATGAAAAGGTCTTTTGCCTGTTTCCATGGCAATTGTGTTGATAACTTGCCATGGGACCTTGTGTGGCATTTAAGCTGAATTAAATGGCCTCTAGATCTTCTTCAGGCCTCTTGTGTTGTGCAAATAGATTTTAGGGCAGGTATTAAATACATAGAACAAATCTGCTAAATTCACTCTCATGCTGTGTAATAAAAGCGTCCGCTGGCTCGGATGACCCTGGGCTAAAGGTAGAGCAGATAAGCTGGTGAAAGAGTGCTAACTCCGTGACTTGAGTTGCCCTTCACTTTTCAGCTTGGAGATGGGAAAACTCATCTTGTGCCTTGGGACGCAATTCTCAAATCGCTTCTATTGCACTTCTTTTGGGAAGCTGAAGAAAGATCCCAAAAAAGGAAATCTAATGGACCATACCGCTCTCAGACAGAACAGGAGCTACTGGTGGAAAGAGTCGAGTGTCTGTGGTTAAGCGATGAGTAATGGTAAAAGAGGAGTATAGCTGCAGAGTGACAGATGCACTCCTTCCTGCTCTGTCATTAAACCATCCCTGTGATCAACACAAGATGACGAAGAGCCTGTTTAATGGGCCAAACCGCAGTTATGAATGTGGTTTTCTTCCTTTTTTTAGGTGTGCAAGAAGAATCATTTATATGTCATCACATGGGTAAGCTCTTGTAGCGGTTAGTAATGGCCTGTTTAAGAGAAGACGGATAAAAACTTGCACTTGAGTTATTAGAATTGCGTCTCCCTTGATAAAACATGGCTTAGCTCAAACGGTATTTGCATGACTATATATGTATGCAAAACTGTTCGTCTCTTTTCACTGGCAAATCTCATGAAAACTGTCAAGACAAGCATGCACAGAGTTGGTTACATCTGAATTTCAATTTACTTTGTGGCCGTGAAAAAGTATTTATTTATTTATTTTTTAATCAATTGCATTGCTTCACTGTCATTTACAAATCCTCTCCCGTGGCCTCATGGGATAGCAAAGTGTTCATGAAATGTTAACTTCAGAATCTCCTGTTTTTCCAATACTTTGTATTCGGAAGTACTACTTTCGTGGCGTAATGTTTTTCGCATACTATATAATAGGGAAGTATTTGATTTTGGACACAGTCGGTGTCATGTTTCACCCAGAAATGTGTGTATAGTATATTTTAGATGGTAAATAAAGGTACAATATGTAAGTTTTGATGCTCTAGCGGTTAATAAACGAGTGGAAGAACATTGTAGTCAGAGTTACTTCTCTCTGTTTATGTCCATGACGAGTCATGCAGATACTGGGCTACGCCGCAGCGGTTGTCCTGCTCGCACTAAAATACTCCAAATATAAGCACTTATTATTAGTGTACCGTATGATTTAGGAAAAATTATGTTTGGAAGATGGAATCATGATATACTCGCTCATTATATCGATTTTTGTCAATTTTGAAAAAAGTCACAGTATACTTTTTTAAATAGCATGTTTTTATTTTGATTTTTTTTGTTATATTATTTAAGTAATTTTGCATAAACAAAATTAACCCTATTAATTAACCTATTAAGATAGTCAATACTACAATGATGTGTACTAGCAAATATACTCCGTAACTAAATACGTATTTCATTTTTTTTTAAAGAAAAGGAATGTCTGTGCTTAATGAAATACAGTGTGTGTGTGTGTGTGTGTGTGTGTGTGTGTGTATGTATATGTGTGCGCGCATATATATATATATATATATATATATATATGTCTCTCTCTCTCTATATATATATATACATGTGTGTGTGTGTATATGTCTCTCTCTCTCTCTATATATATATATATACGTGTGTGTGTGTGTGTGTGTGTGTGTGTGTGTGTGTGTATATATATATATATATATATATATATATATGTATGTATGTATATACAGTATATAGAAATAGAAATGTATATAGGAATATATAAAACATATATAGAAATGTATGAGAATGGCTGTCTTAAATGGTCCTAAAGTTGGCATTATTTTCTTTATTCAAACTACTATAATTTCTTCTTTTGTTCTCCTTTTTAGGGATTTTGTGATGCAACATGATGCATGCATTTCTTATTAAGATTCAACTGGATATGCTATTTCAGATCAGAGAGGGATTGTCATTGTCTAGTTGCCTGGTTTGAGGGAGGACATAATTGAATGAGTTCAGTTCTGTTATATTGCCAATTCTCCAGACAGCTCTTTGTCACAGGCCCCAATTAGTTTGAGTGCTGGGGGACGGAATGAGCCGATTGGAGGTGTGAATGAAAGTGGGCGTGTCCTTACGAGTCATTTTGTTGGTGGTTAAGTGATGTCATTTCTTGACATTTTTGTGGAGTTTGTTTTGACATAACTGTGAAAACATCTGTTTATCAGTGTTCATAATTACCCCTTTGCCCAGTATGCCGATAGATGTCTGGTATCTTGACTGTTGTTTTGGGTGCTTTGGTTGTCAGACATGTCAGTGTATCTGTCTGTTGTTGTGTATCACAGATAAATTACAGTGTTTGCATCCCATGGAAAGGCATACTTGAAGACAAATGTCTGAACTTGTCTGTATTTACTCTGGGATATACTTTTATTACAGAGGGTGGTGTCGTTTTTGGTTACAGTCGTTTGGACAACCTCTTCAATTGTGGTTTGTAAGGGTTCTTTGAAACATAGTCTCTTTTTAGTGGTATTGCTTTATATCATTGTCCTAGTTCGCCCTTCCTGTGTGTTTTGGTTAGTGAAGTGTTTGTTTAAAGCATTAAGTTCAATGTGAAATCTTGATTGATTTGTCTTAACATGTTTGTCTTAATCTTTTGTCGAAATACAATAGCCACTGAAACAGGGTTATCTATGTAATGTCAGCTGAACAGCCGCACAGACAATTAACCAAAAGCCAGTAGCTGGTTTCCTTTAAATTACTGTTTTAGGGTGTGTATTACAGGTTGTCTGGAATTATGTTGTGTATTAATCGGATGTAATAAGGCTTGCATGTTGATTTTTCTGCATATTTATTTCATAATTGTCATTAGTTTTCGTTACATCTTAAATTGATGGAAAGCGGGTATTCTACATTTTAGGAAAACATTGGAAGGTTTAAAAAAATAATTAATTTATTGATTTGCTTGTGGGAAAATATATTGCATATTATTGTCAGTTGCATTGGACGACGTTCATTTCCTGGAACATATCACTTTTGTAAAACAGCCTGGCTGTGCTGTTTTCTTCGACATTTTCTCTCTGAGCTGTTATCTGTAAGCAGCCCACTGTGCAAAAGGACACCATCACTGTCACAGGAAGTGGTGTATAGGCACAGGAAATGCAGACTCAGGGAGGCAGCTGATGGAATGCAACATTTTTTCCAGCCGAGTCAAACTAACCTAGACAGTCCAGTTTAGGACAGAACGCAGTGATTATTTTGAGGAATACAGTGATGGTTTTGAGTGGCAATATCATGGTACTAAAGAGTGGTCTTTGGTCTTTTTTTTTAATTAAGAGAATGAGCTCAATAGTGAAAAAAAAACTGTTTGTAAATGTGTTTTCATGCGAATTTTAAAGGGATACTTCAGGATTTAGCATTAAGCTTTGTATTAGTAGGAAACCTGTAGTATTTTCAAATTACTGTGCTTTCCACCCTCATATCCCCCTGAGACGAGAGATTTACGTACTTTTTTGTCTGGAAAAAATCCTATGATGACGCAAAAATCGTCATTATGTGTCATCGGAGGATTTTTTGTCCAGCGGCTAAAGACTACAGTCAGTAGTAGGGTCTGTCCCGTATGTTTTCAACCCGGATCTCAAGTGGATCTCACTCACAGAATGTACACATAGTGTCAGCCATCTTGTTTTGGAAGCTAAGCTAGCAGGCTGAGTAGTAGGGGTTACCATCCTCTTTTTCCCGGACATGTCCCGCCTTCGATGTCTGTCAGCTTTTGCTTTCTGCAGTCGCCATTCATTGTTTACATGCAAAGCTTTTGTTTCAATCTAACTGAATTCAGTCCGATTGGTGAATCTGAATATTGTGTTTACATGAACGCTAAACAAGTGATCGGTTGATGTGCGTTTTAATATTGCTAAGAAAATTCCTGCTCCTCCGTGAGAGATACAAGACCGGTGCGTCTCACAGGTGTTGCTCATTGGTAATCACGCCACCAGCCTCGCACCGTTCTCCCGCGGGCGGCCCTCACTCGTCTTGCTCGCCACAGTAAACATAATGAACGGCAAATGTAGAACGCAAAAGCTGAATCCTGGACGTTTTGGGTGATCTCGAAACACATTTTCGGGCAGACTCATCACGGAGACTCGCTAGTAGCCTAGACTTGTTGTTTAACTACTACGCTCTGTTACCTGTGGGCGTGGCCTCCTAGGGCAGCGAAGCAAGTGCATTCTGGGAGTTGTTGTCTTTCATCCACAGAAGCCAAAAATACATTTTCTGGCTTTTCTCAGTCTAGAAAGCTCCAAATTCAAAAATAATTTCAAATTTATTCTACGTAAATGACCCCTTTTAATCTTTCCAGAGGTGAAGTGATTGTGTCTTTAATAACTAGATTTTTCTTACTTATCCATATCTGATTTGTTGCTATTCCACATGTTTGAGTCACATGTGTGTATTTTAAAAACAGTTGGACAGACATCAGGTATTAATCCACACATACAGCTGCAGCATTCCATTCAGACTGATAAAATGGGATTTGGGAGCCAGAAAGAACCAACTGAATTCCCATCATGAGACTTGTTGAATTTGGCACAAATGACTGTTTAGTCTTGATTCATTAGACTCTCCATAGTTAACATTTTAAACATTTCAGTGAAATGAGTCATTTTATGAATGAGCGTAAGTGAATTTGTTCTCTAATTTTCTCTCTGCAGAGCTTTTCATCCTGCCGGAGGAGAGCAGAAGGTAAGGCGGTGACTCTCTTTCTCTTCTGTCAGACTGAACTGCAAAGCTTTCGCAAGACCACTCAACCAGCTCCTGATATCTGAAGAAACACATTTAGATCTGTTCTCAAGTTCTCAGCTGCTTTGAATACTTCAGGACTGAGCACACACACACACACACACACACACCTAGCTAGCTAAATGTCGTATATATGAGCATGCCATATAATATAATTTTTAAATATAACATTATTTAATAACTACAACTAGACCCTGGAAGAACTTTTGCAAACATTTGCTATTTATGAATAACTTTTGTCTTTAAGTACATCCTTATACTTCCCAAAGGAATTTGGCACAATTTGGCATTTCTTGGCACAACTTTGTCCCAAAAGCACATCTGAGTTAACCCCCACACACATACTTATATCTCAAATACACAATGCTTCATAACTCATTCATAACTCATTCTCATGTAAGTTTCATGGTTCTGTTAGCTTTCGTGGGCTGGTTGCACTATATTGCGAAAGTTTGGGTGGTTTGTCTATTTGCCCGTCTGATTTTAATGTTAAACCTCTTGAATGCACAAAACCAGACTAAATGTACAATTTCTCAGTAGGCCATTTGCACATGCTGTAAATTAATTAAGACTTTATGGATTTTATTGCTGGATACATTATAGCTAGAATTGCAAATTAAAAGCTTAATAAACTATTTTAATTTGTGTGCATATGTGTATATACAACATATCTAAAATGTATACATTTAAATATAATTTATATTACTTATATTTATATTATATATGACAAATATGTTTTTTTTTAAATATTTGAGACACATATGACAATTATATTTGAAAGAAATGTTTATTAAAAATTATTTGTTATTTTATAGTTGGGTCAGTGAAAATGTTGGCTGGGCAGATAAGAAAACAAAATGTAGCATTAAAACTTATCAGATTGTATCTCCTTCCACAATGCATTGCATTTGAATGGGAGAAATCACGCCCTCATGTGGCTGCAATAGATCATGGCACGGGTGTCTGCAACAGTGCCTGTTATAATTCTAGTCATATCAGACAGTTATGCTTTTCCTTTCGACCCATTCAGGTACAAAGTACAGATAAAATGAAGGAGGTCCTTTAAGCCGTACCTTGGCCTGATCTCAAGATAAATATTTTTGCCCAGGGCGTGTTCATACTTCTTAAACAATCGCCCTCCACTTTCTCCGTGCTCATAATTTGCTGTGAAAAGACAGGAAGACACCTTTTTTCCCTCCAGTTAATCCTCTCATTTGGAGAGGATTAACTATTAAACCGTATCTGGGATTGTGCATTCACCTGTGGTGCCACTAGTGTTTATGAATGTGTGTGTGCATGATCTGACATGCATGGTGTTGCTTTGCACTTGTCTTTCTCCACATTCAGGATACACTCGCACCTACATCCAGTCAGCCCAAATACTCGTTTGCACCGAGCACAGCCATAAACAAGATGGCGCGGCCATTCTCCGCAGCTTTTGGCAATGGCAGCAAGGGGCCTGTCATCAAGCCAGTGTCGTACGCCCCCAAGCCTAACTTCAACTCGCAGGTGCCCAGCAGCACGCCGCATCCTCACAATGGGTAGGTGACCAGCCAGCCAGGTCTCCAACTGAGACTCAGGCTCATAATCTGTCTTTAAAGCGGGCTTTGAAAGCCACAGGACCTGCTTGATGAGCTTAGTCCACAATAATGAACCTCATCATACCCAAGGCTGCATGTTTCTAATGATGCAGCAATACCTCAGTGATGGGTAAGAACGCCCGCAGCTCCCAGAATTCACTGTGAGCGTGAGTTGTCTGGATGCTAGCTCTGAAATTGGGCTGCACAATATTGGAAAAATAAAACTGACATTGTGATATTTACTCTTTTTGACAAATATATTGCAATATAAATAAATACGGGAATGTTTACCTGAGGACTTGAATAGCTATATTTGGAAAAAAAAATTATAATTCTAAAATTAGTTGGGTTATTTTTTTTTGTAAGCAGCTGGAAAAATAATGAATAACAAATAAATGATACCATAATTTTAGGGCCTATTATGTTTTATATAATAATATATTCATATAATTATTATTTATCAATTAGTTACAGTTATTTATTAATTAGTTTGTCTAAAAAAACTGAACAGTTAATTAGTAAATTTAGTTATATATATATATATATATATATATATATATATATATATATATATATATATATATATTAAGCTATATATATATATATATATATTAATCGTGCACTGTATAATTATTTTGTATATATAAATACACACACATGCATGTATATTTAAGAAAATAAATATTATTTCTATATAAGATATTTAAATGTAAATGATATATAAATCTATACAGTATACAATATATACATGAAAATGTTTCTTAAATATACAAGCATGTGTGTGTGTATATATATATATATATATATATATATATATATATATATATATATATTAATCGTGCACTGTGTATAATTATTTTGTATATATAAATACACACACATGCATGTATATTTAAGAAAAAAATTTCTATATAAAATATTTAAATAGAAATTATATATACAGTAAATCTATATACAATATATACATGAAAAAAAATTCTTAAATATACAAGCATGTGTGTGTATATATATATATATATATATATATAAATATTCAATAATTTTACACAGTGCACCAACATATATTATGTAAACATAAACTTTTATTTTGGATGCAATTAATTGCGATTGCAATCGTTTGACAGCCCTAATATATATAAATATATACATGTATATAAAAATAATATTTAGTTTTATTATTGTAATATTTATATATATATATATATATATATATATATATGCACAAATAATATTTTGTTTTTATTATTGTGATCTATTCAATAACGCATTAAACAAAAGAAATATGTTTGAAATATTGTAACTGTTGCATTGTAAAATAAGAAATCGAGTAATTAATAAAAATAATACAATTTATGGTATATTCTGGTGATTAGTAGCGCATGTATTTATTTAATTAAACTGTCAGACTAGTCGCGATATGTCAAATCGTGCAGATTGCATTTTAAGTCATTGCGTTCCTGCGCACGGTGAGGTTTGGGGTCAGTGAGTTCAAAAGTCTGGTCTTTAGTGTTTTTCCGGATTTATTATGCGTGCTTGTAATAAACGATGTGGCATTAAGCAGCTGTGTCTGTTTTCCTTGTTGGAACAGGCGGTTGCATCGCCACCTCAGTGACCAGACTGTTCTGGGACCCGCTCGAACACGTCGTCATCATCTGTTTTCCTCTCCACCTCTTTATCATCCCATCGCAGGGACATTCTGCTTCTCTTTTCCAGCATTTTAACGAGCACTTTTATTAAAGCTGATCAAAACAACAGATGTTAGCCGTCAAGTCCGGTGGAGTTTAAGACAGTAAAACTGTGGTTTATTTGATTTATTTATTTAGCATAAACGCATGAAGGAGTTTGTGAAGGTCTAAGGTGTTGATCTAGCCAGGTTGAGAAGGTTGAAGTCTGTCTTTAGGCCTGGGCTTGATGTTGTCTGTTGCTGTTTATAGAGTCCAGACCCTCCCATAAAATCTGCTGAGCCCTCAAAATGCCGTTACGGCCCCGGTGCTGAATTACTTAATGGCCTTACTTGGAAAAGCTCCTGTCTTGTAATCCACCTTAACACAAGTTTCCTCACAAACAAATTGCAGGAAGGTGATGTTTTATTCAAGTAGATTCAGAAGCCTTGAATTTCAGTTGGATTGTGGGAACATTTTCTGGAGTGTAGTGCAGGGAAGGAGGCTGAATCCGAGCTCGGCTGTTGGAGTGTGTGTGTTTTTTCAGCACTGAGGTCTCCGTGTTCTCTGGAGATCACACAGTCACGTCAGCATTCTGAGCATGTTTACTGCACCGCACGCCTACAAGCTTGTTTTTACAACTCTTCACTCTAAGCGGCACTATTTCTTGCAGTGTTTGTGGAATGGTATCAACTTTTGAGATTTGAAATATTATGTTCTATATGCATTTTGTTTTGGGGTCAATAAGATTTATTTATTTATTCCTTTTTTAAAAAGAAAGAAATTCATACTTGTATCGACCACAGCCATATTAATTTGATTGAAAGTAACAGTAAAGACACTTATAATATCACAAAACATTTCTGTTTTAAATAAGTGCTTTTCTTATGAAGAATACTGTATCGAAATGTATCACGGTTTCCACAAAAATATTAAGCAGCACAGCTCATTTTTAATATTGATCATATTTAAGAAATAATTTTAATAATGAATGGATATTTTCTACTTGCTCAACTTTAATGCTTAAAGGAGTAGTTCACTTTTTAAAAAAAACTTTTGCTGATAATTTACTCACCCCCATGTCATCCAAGATGTCCATGTCTTTCTTTCTTCAGTCGAAAAGAAATTAAGGTTTTTGATGAAAACATTCCAGGATTTTTCTGATATAATGCACTTCAATGGGAACCAAACGGTTCAAGGTCCAAAAGACAGTTTCAGTACAAACTTCAAACTGTTCAAAGGGCTTTAAACGATTCCAGACGATGAATTAGGGTCTTATCAAGCGAAATGATTGCTCATTTAAAAAAAAAGCTCAAATGGTCACCTTGCTGTGTTCTATGATACGCGTTCGTGACTCATGTTCGAACTCATTTATCAAAATGAACGAATCTTTTTTCGTGTCATTTGGTTCATTCAACAAACGAAATGAACGAGTTGCCTCAGGAAAAGATTTGATCATTTTGATGAACAAGTTCGAATAGGAGAGTCACAAACGCTCATCACACCCTAACCCTAACAGAGCAAGGCGACCATTTGAGCTTATAAATGTTTTTTTTTTTTTTTTTTTTTGATTAATGAGCGATTGATTCTCTTGATAAGACCCTTATTCATTGTCTGGAATCGTTTAAAGCCCTTTGAACAGTTTACAGTTTGCACTGAAACTGTCTTTTGGACCTTGAACCGTTTGGTTCCCATTGAAGTGCATTATATGGAGAAAAATCATGGAATGTTTTCATCAAAAACCTTAATTTCTTTTCGACTGAAGAAAGAATGACATGGATATCTTGTACGACATGGGGGTGAGTAAATTATCAGCAAAGTTTTTTTTTTTTTTTTAAAAGTGAACTACTTTCTTTAATGAATCATTGGCTAGACATTTAAATTGATTTTATTCAGTTGTCACAAACAACTTGAAAACTCCTAAATCTTTTAGGAACCATGTATGTAGGCTAATGTTGGTTTAATGGCGTAAAGCCAGATTCAGTGTCAGTTAGATCTAGTGGTTGTCATGTTTGGCAAAAGTTGCAGGGATATCTTTAATAATAAAAGCACATTAAAAGTACAAAAACAGAATCATTTAACTTATTTAACAGGAGGTATACAGCTCATATTTTCTGTTGTGTTACTTAAAGCACGCTGTGATCCCTTTCACCACTAGAAACACACAATTTGCTTTGTTTGTTTGTCTCTGCATCATGTCTTTCTAAATGCTGTGTATTCTGCTCCGTTTGATTTATTTCTAAACAATTTTCTCTTCTCCTCTCTCTTTTTTTTTTTTAAAATCTCCTTTGTCATTCCACAGATGGAAGTTCTTGACAAGTTAGTAATGCCTTTCCTTATTTCCCTCCTGCTCTGAAAAATGTGTGCAATTATTGTTTTTGGCTATCAAATCCCATCCCCGTGGCTCTGCCTCTATCCGTTTTCATATATTTGTTTCCCTAAATGTAATTTATCTTTCCTTTTTCCCCCAAGCCTGCATTGTTGCAGTACTTGCTTTAGGAGACGGCAGATTTCTCACATCTAAGCTGCCGTCTCAATCTGTAATTATTCACTATGGGATTGTAAACGTACAGCTTTATTCCAGCGCTGGTATTTCAGAGCGCAGTGGACGGTCTTTGTTCACTCGGTGTAAAGTCAGGCTGCTTTAATGGACACTGTTGTGTTCTTCTGTTGTACTCCTCCCACTCTTCCTCTCTATTGTTATTTGTGCTCCTTTCCCTTTTTTTCTCCGTCTTCCCTCACTCTCCCGTTCATTAGAGGAGAAGCCTTCTATGAGGAGTTGTACCCTGAGGGGAAGTAAGTGCTGAATGCTTGTGGCTCTAATGCACTATAGCTAAAAGAACTTAGACCTGCCGCTGACCTCACTAATAAACTCTTGCTTTTGACGACATCAGACCATGTTTCATTGCTTTTTCACTCAGGAGTTGAACTGCATTGAAACTGCACTTTAGCTGGGTCGTTTGAAACTATTAGCAAATGTAGTCGTGCACTTTGAGTGACTTCATTAGAGCATGAAGCAATGATGTGGAGCCTGAATAGAAATGCAATTTCGTGGGTGTTCAGATTTGATTTTTTTTTTTTTTTTTTTTGTGCGTGTTGTGTTTGTCATGTAGTTATGAATCTGATGTGTGAAAAACAGGGCTTTCAACCATTATAGACCCTCCCACCAGACTCTCAGCCAACCCACAGACTCCAGTACTTCACACACAAAAGAAAATCTGATATATTTTTACTACATTTATTGAAATAATAAACTGATTAATACTATTTTGAATAATAACTCTGATTTAAGACTCTTGC